TACATTGTATAATATAATATACTAACCTAGTATCAGGATGCATCTCGACCACATGTTCCAAGCGTATCCCTGGCAGAGTTGCAGTGCTCGTGGTGGTGGCGGTGCGGACGATTAACGCACATAACAGACGCGAACCGGAGCGGACCGTAAGTATTTCGGGGCCCGCGGATACTGCGGCACTGTCGTCGCGAGTAAACGCGTCGCGGGATCTCAACGGCCACCGCCGCCGCAGCCGTATCGTGGGAGTAATAACGCCACCCCCGCCCTCCCCCCCCGGTCCGCGATCGGACGGATTTCCAGTGCGAACAACGGGCCCGGCGGGGCCGTAGTCGGCGAGTAGGAGAAAGAGTCGCGGCCGTCGTTCTCGCGCGTGTCGTTCGGAGAGTATAGTCGTTGCAGTGTTCGGAAGAAAGTGAATCCCCCGGACGACGACCGTGGGCAAGGACGCCGCGAAAGGTGACGTCACACACGAATCGTATATAATAATAATAATAAACAGTAGGTATACGACGACACAGGTACCTAATAGTTTTATTATTATAAGACGATTATTCATCATTATCGTAAACCTGTCGACTTTGGATTGGGTACGTAATGGGTAAATTCGATTTTGTTTTTTTATTTTCCGGACAAAATATTTACAACATTATACATCCATTAACTATTAATGTAAATCGTCAATCCTTACCTTTAAATATATTCATTTTTTTTTTAGTTTTAGGTTATTGAACGATCCGCTGCTATAACTGCGTATTGTGCATGTGAGCAGCATGAAAATTTAAAACGATTCAAAATATTATGAAATTTGCTCATTTTTGGGATTTAAAAATAATAATATATATATTTGTCTATTGTTATTCTGCCTTTTTTGTATGTGTTCTGGTTTGCTGAAGCCTACGAAAAACCAGATTTTTCGTTTTTTCCTGGAATATTCCCTAAAAATTTATATAGAGACCATTTGTAGTCCACGATATGATAAATTACAGCTTTTTCTAAATTAATTTTGTGCACAATTAGTGAGTCCTTCTGAACCAAATCCCAAATCACTCCAGAGCTAAAGAGTTGTTTTATAGGAGGATCGAAGCGATACGTTGGGTTGGGTTTTAATATCAATCTCACCATGTTGTTACGGGAAGAGGATTTGTTTTAGCTTTGAACATCCCTACAGACTGCTCAAAATGAAGTCAGGGGGATTGAATTTCGTAAATACATGGCTTTGGTATTAAGGATGGTGCACCTTTCGAGGTTTCAACTTTTAACCTCAAAATTTCAATTTCCCCATCTGTTTTATAAAAATCATTTCTATAACACCAAACACATTGAAAAATATTTATAAAAAATCTTAAGATATTTTTTGTTATAGACAGTTTTCGAGATGATTAAAGAACTATTGCATGGGTTATAAAGCAAACTAATTATTATTAAGTAATTTTTATGTTAAAACAATTTTCGTTATAAAGGGTTTTCACTGTATAACAAATAGGTGGTTAGGAAATTTGACTTTAATGGTGGAGTTCTGCTACTCATAGGTGTTTTTTAAATTCTGTGCCTAGTTATGAATGCATTTTTTTATGTGCAATATAAATAGAAGAACTAAAATTTTAAAAAAATTCGTCTTTTCACCTAAATGACATCACCTAAATAACATCATTACTTAGCTCGTATTGATTTTTGTTATACAGGTATACTAGTCATTTTTTTAAAACCAAAACCAAATCACCGCATTATTATTTTTGTACGTTCAACAGTTTTATGTATCTTAATTGTACGCGCATTTACCGCGGAAAATCACAAATATTCTCCTAAGAGTCAACATTTTTATCACCGAAATAACAATGTTCCATTCTTGACGGTTTTGTGATACTTTCCAAATGTTTACGCGCGGACATAGGAAAAAAAACAACAGTAATGCAATAAATTGTCGATTCCTGAATAATAACAATATCTGTACTAATGTCTACTGATGACCCGGTTTGAGTAGTACTCAGGTTATAGCCGTGTTCAAGTAATGGTCAATATAAATTACAAGTAAAAATCCGTGTTTACTTTCCTTATATTGCGAGTAAATACTCACAGTTACATATTTATGCGTATACGCACGTACCTATAAATATACACGTGCATTACATCAATTATATGATTGTGTGTACCTACATTATAAAAACAAATACTCGTACCTACCTATAGCTTTCTTTTCGCTTCTTAGATAAGTCATTAAATAATACAGTTTTGAACCAAGTAAACACTGCTGCAATAATAATTATTATTATAACATCTAGGGGATAATTAAAACTTGCAATTTTGTTTTAATTACTTTTAGGTTTTATAAACATGCATTGAACGTTATTCGGAGTTTCATATTAATAAATTATTTATTTTTTTAAATTGTCTATTGTCAAATATATTAGTAAACAATATTGTTTTAACGATAAAAATTAAAAATTAAAAATTAAAATCGTATAAGTATTTTCGAATTTAGAAATTAAGGATGCAACTATAGGTTTTAATGTTCATATTGATTTTAAGCTTATGCCTAGGGATAAGAAGTTATATAAGATTAAATTGGCAAAATATTCATGCGAAAATGCACAACACAATTTAAAATATACATAAATAGTATACTACATTTTATTTTATCAATATCATTTTAAATTCTTTGAATACAAATGTACATTGTCATAGATACTATGATAAATAATAATTAATTAATAATAAATAAAACTGTATTTTTAACTGTTGGAAAGACTTCTAAAAATCTAAAAAAATATTTTTAATATACACAAATTAATAAATATACATGTACATTATGTACATCATGTACGTATATTATATACGTATATATTTTGTAAATATATAACACACATTCAATTGTTGTTTTTTTTTTTTATCAAATTTGCTTAAAAGCTTTTTTTATATTTTCAACATCTAATTGCGTTATATCAGACAGTCGGATATGACAAGACGATTAATCTATGTAGTTATATTATATTTCTATTTAAGTATTACACGATTACAAACTAATGATACTACGTATATAACAAATACACGTTTTACGTTTTAGGTTTGAACGCTACATTATTGAAACTACAGGTTTTAGGTACAACTATTGTTTTCACGCGATACATTTTATAAAAATAAATCTATAATTTTTTATAAAAAAATATATTTATATGCACAAAAATCATTAACATGCAATTTTTAAAAAAATTAGCAAAATATACAAAAAAAAAAACCCCAAATATGTACTCACTAGGTTATGGGACAGATTTTTAGCTCACTTAGCTATAAATAGAAGACTTATAGAGGCTATAATAAGGCTATAATGAGGCTTATAATATTATAGAGGTTTTGGATACTATTTTGAAATAATTAAACGAAAAAATAATAATTGTTATGATAATATTTCCATCGGAACGTCCAATTTTATTAAACAATAATTTGTATTACACGTTGTATTTTCGCCGAATTTAATGTTTTTTTTTTTTTTATACATATTAATATTTATTCTTCTGACTCTATTTACTTAAATCGTTATTTTTTTAAGTCGAAATTCTGAAAATTAAGTTTTAATTTTTAAACCACAGAATTTTACGATTTTAAAAAATAATAAATTGGGTGTGTTTATGTAAATTTGATTTTCGATAAATATAATAAAATAATTTTAATATTGAAAAAACCCAACGTTATAATAATAGTTTATTCAATGACAAAAATGTTTAAAAAAAAAAATCCTTGACATTATTAATTTAATGTGAACAATGCAGACGTTGCTTAATATAGTGAATTATTATTTTATTACAATATATTAAAAAATTTTAAATATACTTCTAAAACACGTACGTAATGGCACAACAATTGATTAAAATTTTTTTTTAAATTTGTATAAACAAAAACAGCTATAACAATCCTATTTTTGATAAATATACATATTATTAGGTATCTGATATAAACTGTATGTACATAAATTCCATATTTCGATAATGTTGCTTATTTTATAAATGATTTTGTGTGTAGTTTAAATTTATAAAACAGGTATAAATATTGGCCTTTTAATTTTTTTTTTTTATCTGTATTGCGAAATTTCCCGGACATCGACTTTCGCGTGTGTGTTTAATTTCCCATTTTTAACAAAATTACTCAAACGAATCGACCAACTATTATTTATTATTATATTATTTTCTGGCCCAAAAACTCTTCCAAAAAAAAAAAAAAATAATAATAATTACTGAATTTATAACGTGATGGTGTGTCGTCTTTAATTATCATATTAAAAAAAAAAAAAAAAATACGAATTTTTTATATATTTGGTGAAATCCGTTATTTTTAATACTATGAAATAATATTAACAAAATATATATTTATGAATAAATTAATATGTGTCTATATGGATTCAAAAACAAATTTCGCTTTTTTATTTTGATTATATAACATAGAGATTAGAGAGTATTATTATAGGGATAGATTGTTTTTGGGAAATTATTATTAAACAAATCATCAAGTTAACCGGTTGGTCGACGTGTTTGTATTATATTATAATAATTTAAGTTTTCCTGTGTGAGAAAAAATAATTTTATTTTTGTTTTAATTAATATTTATAATTATGACGTAGTAGTTTAAAAATAAAAAAAATAACACTAACATTACGCCATTGGCATTGTTGGCCAGCAAACTATTATCCCTTCGTTAACAACCTTATTGTTAATAATCTAACCCCATAAACGAATTATTCTTTGTTATTCTTTGCTAGGTAAATCGACAACGGAACGAAATGATGATTTTTGATAACATGTATGAGCACTTAAACCTGTTATTTATAGGTACCCATTTTTCCCTTCATTTAACAATCATCTTGTTGTGTAACCAAGTTTGTCCTAAACCCTTTGTATTTTCCATATTTTATATTTGTGAGTATATTAAACAGAAAAAATACATAGTTATTATAACCAGTTATTAGTACAGGATATAGTACAGGAAAATAAAATGAAAACAAATAGACCGAGGCCGATGCCTTTTTGGGTATATTAATTTGAAAAAAAAAATGTACACAGTATTAACAATATAAAATTTTATACACGAATGGATAAAATTAAGAAATAACTTATCGGTACCTCTACGTTAATTATAATTATAAATAAATTAAATAATTTAATAATTGCACAGTCTTTTTAATATACGTCTCAGGATCGTAGCTTGTAATAGTAAGTGTCTCGTTTATCTTCTTTTTTCGATCCTAAAAATTAAATATTGGTCATACACAGGCATCAATATAGGTATTTAATTTGAATATCTCACTAAAAAATATCGAATTAATTAACATATGTGTCATACAAAATCGTGGAATCAATTCACAAAAAAAGGTTGAATATTTATTTTAGTGTTTTAAAAGTATAGATACTTCAATTTGCTATTCAGTATGAAAACCGGATACTTTCATTAAATGTAAAATTAATAGAATATGTTAATCGAAAATTGTCTATTTATGTTTTAGATATTATTACATATTTCTTATGAGGTTTTTGTTCAATTAGTCGTCATGATACCTTTAATATACCTAATGTTTTATGTAGCGTATCGTTTATAAAAAGTATGAAAATATATAACTAGTAACTTCAAGTTGCGTGTGCTATTTCAATAAAATTCTACGCGTTTGTAATAATATGTCATGAGTATAATATAGCATTTTATTTCTAAGCTCAATCGTTGGGTACCCGGAAATCCATAACAAGTTTTTACCTCTTGTTATCGGATATCCACTCGACGTACTCGTTCACCGGTGTATAAATCAGCGACCCTACACCAACGCCCGTTTGGACGCCAGCCAGTTTACCGTCGCACCACAGGCCGCTTCCCAGCCGTCCCTCTTGCTGTAAACATTAACACAATTTCATTTCAGTTAAGGTACAAAAAATAAAAAATAATACAAATAAAAATATATTTTCAAATTAATACAATGACGGCTGCGTTTTGTATAATAATAGTATACAATAATTTTTGCAGTTTCGGTGTGATTACGAAATTATGTGTTTAATGTTATAAAAATAATTTGATCCTAGTCTATTTAAGATACCTATTGAACATTAAACTGCATAATGTTTTAGATAGTATATTTTGAATACAACTTTAAATAAAAGTTTACTGATTTACACCGAAATATATTTGTTCTTTAACTCCTGAAGATAAATTGATTATTTAGTTAAATATTTTTTTATTTATTTTACTTAAAATTTTTTCGAATTCGACACTTTTTTTCGTTCATTTATACGAGTTGTTACGTACAATTTTCTTTTACAGGTTTTTTTTTTTGAATTGCTACTTTCTCTATTACAATACATAGCATTTCAGTATACATTCATACTTTCTGTAAGAGATGCTTCAAGTTATTGTCCTTAAATAAATACCTTTTAATATATTTTCCTTTAAAAAAACATTTAAACTTTATTTTAGCGCATGCTCTTATTCAACTATTTGTGTAGTTATATTTTAAATAATGCTTGTATTAAATTATCAGCATACTTAAATTAGTTTTTAATTTTGTAATAATTATTTCAGATAATTTACAATAGCTGAAAAATCAATTAAAATAATTTAAAATTAATTTCTTAGTATTTAATTTTTCATATGATTCCCAGACCTGACAATTGTTATAAATATTTCGTTTCATTCTTATTTTTGAATCATTACACACAATTTGAAAAATTGTTTACGTTTCTAATTCAAATTACAACTATTCATTGTATTCTTTTAAATAAAGCTATTTTAAAACAAAAATCTTACAGATACGCCTGTTTTTACTAAAAAATCATATACATACATTCACATTGTATTGCATTCTCCACTTGAAACACGGCAGTACTAAATAGGAATTGCTAATCAGTTTTCGTTGTTGCACTTGACCTTCACAGACTTCGGCTGAAAATTAAATGTACCGTTAAAATATTAGTGGTTTTCCCCCCTTTTAGTTTTAAAGACCTGATTTCACTGCGTTTTTATAGGTGGTGGTTTGAAAGGTTTTACAAACTTCATTTGTAATGCTACTCTTTTGGCTAAAACAGGGAATACATGCTTCACCTTGAAGTGGTACGGTTAAACTGGCTAATGCTAAATAATTTGACACGCACATTTTAAAATAAATCCGTATTATAAATGTTTAAAAAATAAAAATGTTATACCTAAATCATTATTTTCCGGTGGATTTTTGGACACTGGTGATTTGAAATTCTCATGCACTAAGATGTTTGATATGTTCAGCGACGTCCCAATCGACTCTTTACGGCTAACGGTCACTTTCCTGATGTCTGCTTTGTTTAATCTACGTGATGGAAATTTAATTAAAATTCTTGTTAGTAATATTGTATTTAGTATGGATATTATAATTCTCGAAATTTTTTGAAATGTTCAGTTTATGATGCCTGAAAAATAGCGAAAAACTGGATATTGGAGAGAATAGAGAATTAGAAATTTAAGAAAATGTAAACATTTTAATTACGAGCTTAAATATTTTGATTAGTTTATGATAATACTGATCATTTGTATAATTTTACCTAGAAGCACAAGTTGCAGAAGTTAAAATCCATATGTCATCTAAAAGTGTTCCATAACACATTGGTTTTTTATCTACCAAAAAAGTTACTTCACTCTTACAGGTTTTTTGACAAATATTTTTGTCAGCTTTAAATTCATCGTCCATCATGGTAGATGATTCTTCCGTTTCTGCAATCTGTATTATATCCACTTTATTTTCTTCGGTGTTTTCCTTGTTTTCTGAAGGAATTTCTGTCCTAGAACTTTCATCATCTGTGGTTTCAGTTTCATCAGATTTTATTATAATTATAGGATTCGTAGTAGTTTCATTAATTTCCGTTTGATTATTAGCGATCATTGGTATTTCATCTTTAATAATTTGTTCTCTTATTTCGTTTCTCATTGTATTTTCTTCCATGTTTGTCTGGTTGTCGATTGTGGTTTCGTTTGTTTTAATACTATTCGCGGTTTCGTTAATGAATTGTTCAATAATCTTTTTTACCACTAATTCGATTTGATTCAATTTCGCCAGTTGTTCGCTTTCCATTTTCGACTCATCTATATTTTCCCTTGCATTTCTAGCCAACTCGTCATTAGTATTGGCAGAAGTAAACTTTTTAATATCGGAATCTTTTATTGGTATCCCTGATGGTATTGGTTTTTTATTGAACTTACAGCATACAAAAGGAGCACTCGGAGTGAATGCACGTTTTAAACCGTCGCAATTACCCAAAGGATCTGGCAAAAAATCATCATCTGCAGTACAATCACTGCCCAGGAGACAATATCCAGAATTATCACCGCACGTTTTAACGCCTGATATTACAAATAGTCCTTCAATTGAAATAAAACAATAGTAGGAATTATTAAAAGGTACATAATAAATTGTACATAATATATTTTTGGTTACAGAGAAGGAGATTCAGTAAATTTTATAAAACAAATTAAAAAACAATGGGAAAAAATTCTGAAAATTTTAAAAAAATCGGAGAATATTATTGAAAATGGTGGTTCAATTATGGACAGTTATTAAAAAAAAGCCAAAAATATATTTAAACCTTTCTTCCTTGGGACCCAAGAGACTCATAATAATGCAAATGATTGGTAAAGTATTTATACAAATTGCATTCGTTGTTTGTGATAATATACATTTTAATTTTCGCTGTAAGGTTTGGTAATTAAATGTTTGGTATTTTCCCGCGCAAAAATTTGAAAATATAATCGGAAACAACAACAAATAAATATTGAATCTGCTTACCCGGGTCTACTAGTGGCAAGTTCATTGAAGCCGGCAACGAGGTCACGAGGCACATAATAGTAGCGAAGTATAACATGATGATGACAGGCCTAAAACAGAAAAACAAGTATGTGTGTACCCGTGTGTTCAATGCGGAAGTACCAAATCGCACAACGTTCGGTGATCAAGTGTTTGGCTGTTTCATAGTTTCGCATCTCCGTGAGATATCGAAACATTTGTATATAGATGAGTCATTTAACTCTTGTCTTATATAGTGTCAAAAAAAAAAATAAAAAACACCTAAGACACGCCTGCTCTGGTTGACATACATTAGTATTCATGTGATATACAGTGCAATCGTACGGACACGTACTTGGAGTACCGTAACTTTAATTATGAAGAACAAATATATAGGTATATTAAAGTTCTATGACCGAATGAACTGACCTAAAAAATATTTCGCAAATTATAGGGCAAATATACTGATTACCATTTTTCTTTCTTCTTTCAGTTTGTGCCTGTTGACATTTCTTTAAATATAACACTAAAATGTTGAATTCACCTTATATACGGATACCTGAATTACAAATCGATACTGTATTACTGTATTTTATTTTGGACGAAAAACTAATACAAAATGATAAATAAAAAGTATAATAATTTTAATATAAACTTATTAGTGTTGTAGGCTTACATTTCAACGAAATTATCTTATTATAGTAATAGCAATATTAATGAGTAATAATAACTATTAATAGTAATTATTAACTAAAAAATTATGAAGACATAAAATCTTATAATCTTATTTTTATTTTTATAATTGTTATAATATGGATTCGTGTTCCACTTTAGTTATCTACGTATAATAGTTCCATTGAATTATGAAAAAAAAAATAATAATAATACAATATATGTAAGTATTATATTATTTAAATGTATAAACATAAATCCTTTACTTTCCCTAAACTTATGGAGAGTGAACAATGTGTATAGTTATTCTTAGTTCTAAATAATATTATAAGAAAATAAATGGGGAGAAATAGAAATTTGTTTAGAATTCATCGCAGAGGATAATATTTTAAAAGAACCATCTTATTCACTAAAAGCATAAAAATTAACATATTACGTTCTTTATATTATGCATATATATTTGAGAAAATGAACAATTCGTCTGTGTAGAATAAAGAATAATTTCTTACTTAAATTCAAGACCACCATATTATTTTATGGTAGGTCAAGGTCTTCTAAAACCACATATATAAACACATTTTAAATCGATTATTTTCATTGAAAAAAATTACATTTTTACCTCATTTTTTCTCGTATACATTTTTTTTTTACAAGTTAACTTTTTTAATAGGTCTATTCCCAAATAAAAAACGATATAATCATCGGTAAAATTATTCAATTACCTAGGTATTTTGTTGACGTTTAACCTAAAAAATATAATATTAAAATCGTTAAAACAAAATAAAAAAAAAATAATAACAATATAGGTAATTCGATAAGAATGAATAATTTTTTGATATTCTATTATACAATAAAAATATTAAGTAGTTCAATTTAAATTACAATATGTGCTCCAAGTCACACGGACCGAATAAATATCAAACAAAAAAATCAATTGTTTTTTAAGCGAAAATTGATATTTTAGTTAGATAGATAAGTATTATAGACATTTGTACTTAACTAAATTTTTAGAAAAATATCACAAAATATACAGAATATAAGTTCAAGTTTTTTTTTTTTTTTTACAAATAATCATGTAATTATACCTTCCTTTACTTAAAGTAGGTAGTCAATTGGTGTTAAGATATTATTATTTTATTTGAATACAATGTTTGTGTAGGTATTATATAGGTATCTACCTGGTATTGTGTGTCATTCCAAAGAGACTCGAACGATGGGTAAAAATATTTTGAACTGACTACCGTGATAACGAACAATGTCTATCCACAGACTACTGGTTGGTTTATAATGAACTGTTCTTCTTTCTACGATTCCCCCCGCCAATAATATATTTATTTTTTTTGATCAATCAAAGTTTCATCGTTTCATCGATGTATTTGAGTTGCGTACCCATGTAGGTATAGGTAAAATTACTAAAAGTACCGGACTTAAATAATATTCAGTGTAAACATCATCATCTGATGAATCTTGTCAAACGAGTTCGTGGTTTTTAATGAATACCTACGAGATATGTATAACCTCTGCAGGCTATTTTACTTATTTTGATTTTATTTTTAGGATTTCAAATTATTATCCAAATAAGACCGTAAAAAACATGATTGTAATTAATTTTTAGTCCTGATGTAATTTATATATATTTTTTAAAAATTCTAGAAACTGGAATTGGTTAATTTACGAAGTACGTTTATGTGTATATTATAATATAATTAAATGACTGTAATAATTATGAAAAATTAATTTCAAGTAGTATTTTATTTTATATAGATGTCCATATTATTTAAACAAATGAGATTATAAATTATTTAGAAAAAAAAAATATACATACGAGTAGCAATTGGGAGGTATATGGGTATCTAAAATGTGAGAAATTCTAATAACCGATAAAAAAAAAAATGAATTGTTAATTCAGTTTACTAACAATTATTGATTTTAGATTTCAAGTACAATGAAAAATGTATACATTTCTATGAAAATGTTATACATTTTTAATTAGAAAAATTATATAATTAGATCTTATATTGATCACTGACTTTGATGCCGGAAGAATATTCAGTATTCACATAAAGTTTATTATTTCCAAATTTGGGGGATAAATTTTCTTAAAAACTTTTATGCTTATATCTCTATTATAATGGGGTTTCCAAGATTAAAAACTGAAACTTTAAAATTACATTTTTGTAAATTTTTATAGCGCACCTATACTCATAGGTTACTCACGGGCAACTGACCGGGATGGATGAAAAGCAGAATGTATCATAGGATGGTGGTCATAGAGGCCGATAAATCCCAGAAGAAAGAGAGAAGATTTAGTAGATTTATTTACATTTTAATTTGTCAATATTTACGTAATTTTTATTTGGTAGGTACTATGTGGATAAAATTGTTTGACCAAATAGAAATGCTTGAATATTTAACAGGAGGTTTATTATAAATTGTACTTAAAGGTTAAAAAAAATTTTTTTTTTATTAGTTTTTAAAAATATTATATATAAAATAGAAATATCATATAATATCATAGAACCTTAGCAATTATTAGGTAGGTAAAAAAAAAAGTTAAAAATTTGACCAAAACCAAAGTTATTGCATTTATCAGATCTCCGTGGGATACTCTGTATTATTCAAATACACACTATTATAGGTAGTAATGAAAATATATTTTATGTAAAGATAATATTGTTATGCTGCCAAGTTACCGCTTATTTTATGACCGTGAAACTTTGCTACATGACTTTCTGTGATAAATTTAATGCATTTTAATGTGTGAAATTTTTAATTTTACGAGTATAAACAGGTAGGTATATAATATGTAATAGCAATAAAATATACATTTACAAGTTTTATAATAAAAAGTTGGACGAGTGATTTTGTTAAACAGTCGAATGAGATATACGTGGCATAAAAAGTAATATAATAATATTATATTAACGTGTAACATATTACATTACGATTACAATATTTATCTGTTCACGGCTGTTGTTAAACCACTTTCTAGTATTTGGAATTTTAATAAGAATAACGAACATGTTAAAATATTAATAATAATATTTAACCGTTCAAAACCAAGAATTTCTACCTATATACTTACATATAACTATTTAAAGTATAAGTATTATTTATTTATTTAGAAATCTACAGGGGTATAGATATTGTGTAATTTTAAATATGGAATAAATAACAATGTGTACATTTTAATATTAAGTATACCTAATATTCAAATTGGTAATACCTTTATTACAAAAATTCTTCAGATATTTTGACATTGATAATACTTGAGAGGTTAAAAACAATTTACCTCCAAAAACGTAGTACTGTTTTACTTTAAATTATCAAATTAATTATTATACATTCAACATTTATAATTTTTATTACGAGTATTTTTTTCGAAACATTTAGCACCCAGCAAAAAATACGTACTTTTTTATTTTGAATATAAATAATAGCAGGTACATGAGTGACAATTTATTGCAATTATAACGCGAAATCATTTTATTTTGTTTAAATTACACAAAAATGAACGGTTAAAAAAATAGATAATAAACTGGTTAGGTAGAATATTTACTTACGTAATACCTATGTGTAAACTGTAAAGTAGAGAATAGAGATTAAAATAACTAAGTGAACAATAGCTTATGCAAGATAATATAGTGATATTTATGATAATAGAAAAATATACTAAAAAGTAATATATTATAATGTCAATCATAAACGGTAAATAAAATACAAAATACAGTGGGTCATTATTATTTACAGCAGTGATTATCTATTTATATAGTTAATATTCTTTTGTCGCATTAAATTAAATTTAAAAACCAGTGAATCGTAAGAAAAATCATGTGTAGATTATGTGTAGTAATCTACCATCAAATCGGATTAAATTTATGTTTTTACAAGGCGATACACGCTGTAAACTGCAATCAGTAAATAATTGTGATGGTCATGGTTGAACAGACCATAATATTATATACTTATTTAATAATAAACAATTAGTAGGTATTTTCAGAATATTTTAATAAAAAAGCTCGGACACGAAGACGCATACAAGTATACCTGTATTGCAGAGAGTTACAAACTATATGTACAACATATTAAGCAGATTTCGAAAGAAAAAAAAAACTTGTACTTATACAGTTGCTACGAATAACCGGTTGCAAAATTTAGTAATATAATATAATATTATTTACGTATTGACGGATTGACAGTGAACGGTATTTCGTCTATATTTACTTCTATTTTTATCGCATATTATCAGCACGTACGTAATGTGCGCAGGTACCGTTTCAAACAATAGCCTTATAATTATCATTTGCATACTTAGCTACGTACAGAACTAAAATCCACTAACATTTATGAGTAGGGCGTGTATTAAACATACCAATATATTAAATTATAACCAGGGTTCTAGACTTATAGCACCTAAAATTAATTTAAAATTATTTAAAACCTAAAATACTATAAATATATTTAAGAAATCAAAAATCAGAAAAACTAATAAAAAAGTATTTGTTTCTTTTTTGGAAACTACCAACCGAAATAAGCGATTTTAAAGTTCACACTTCAACTCGTTTTAATATGACATACATTTCCGTAGCATTCTTCTAGATTTAATGACAAGCCAAAAAAATTAGCAAATCCTATAAGTCTCGAACTTTGATTATAACAGTATAAATAATTACATAAGTAACATTTATGTAACAAAAGGGAGCTGAGAGGGAGTCCAAATCAAGTCCTTGCTATGTCTGTAGATACTAATAAGTACATAATAAATATGTACTTATATATTTATTATTCAATCTGAAGATTGGATTATAATAAATTTATTTATGCCAGGTGGTTTTTCCATGTTTCCCTGTTCAATCGTATATTACCTGATGTGCATCGTTCTTGATCGTTATCCTTCCATCATTCCTTCGAAATTATTAATCTCATCAGGTGGCTAAAATTGTAATTGTAATTGTATTATGAAAAGTAAATTATAATTTAGAATTATTCATACATTATTATCGTCGTTGAAAATTATTTTAAATTTAAATTTTTCTAAGTTTAAAATGATAATAATTCGAGTTTACTTGATATCGGAAATACATAGGTAATGCAATTTCAAATGTTTCGAACGCTTCGAATGTCGATTCCTTTTTTGTGAATTCCTAAATGTTTTTGATCAAAATAATTAGTACTCGTTGTATTATATAGGTATTAAAGTAGGTAAAATTATAAATTTATTTCTTATTTTTTTGATTTATGATTTTGATACCTATAATATACAACTTATTATTGTTTATTAATGTAACATTAAAATTTTTTTTTTTCTCACTTTGTGACATTTGTTTGTGATAACCGCACACGCTCGTATTATTTAAGGTACATCAGTCACCTATTTAATTAGTCAATGTTGTATTCAATTTTTGTTGTTTTATTAAAATTGGAAATAAATCTGTGATGTATTTTCTAAAAAAAAAATTAAAAAAATAGTGATTCAAAATATTATATCATCGGAAATTTGTAAATTGTAAGTACCTACCTACTAATAAGTTTAAAAACCAAAGTAGTGTTTACATTTTTTATTTATTTTACTTTATGTTAGTAAGATTTCCTTTCAGAACAAGTGTAATAATTGTAAATCGGAGCGAAATCGCTGGTAGAGTTGTCTACAGAAAAAAAAAACACCATGGTAATATTTATACATTCCTCGATCCACTCAGAATCTAAAATCTAATTTAACTCAATAATACGTCTTGATTAATTAAAAATCTCGGTTTATATTAATCATTGATGAGTTGTCATATTATTTGAAAACTTAACTGTTATTTTTCATATTATATTATCCTATAATATATTATGTGCTTTAATTATTTTCCATTAGTTATTAATAATAAAACGTTATTATTATTTCAATAGATATATAAAAAGACACATTGGCATCTTTTTCAAACAAACCGATTATAAGAAATAAGAAAATGTTATTCTAGTGACTATGTTGTTTTTATTATTATTTATGGACGCCATCGATTTAAATACATACTAACAAAACACGGATAATCAACCGTCCCACACATGGTAAGTGTTTAACTTTGTATAAATTAATTGTTAGTTTTGTTTAGAAATATCGATTTGAACGATAGCCGATTGGTGTACAAGATAAATGTTTAATCATAGGTATTTTTTTAATTTTAAAAATGAGTTCAAAAATATATCTATATTCATATAATTAGATCAAATCAATTTTATTTCATAATGGTTATTATCTTTTATTTAGCGGTTATA